CAATCACTACTGTTGGTCTGATGGAAGGAATACAAGGATTAAATTGTAAGGAATCAAACAGCTTATCTCATCACAAACGCAAACTTCATCACTGACAGATCAACACCTCACCACCAGTATTCACCAAAAAATAAAATTGAACATTAAACTAAAATTTCATTTTTAACAAGACATGACTTTTTGATTTTCTAAGTACACCTTAATGCTGGAATAACAACAGGAGAGTATTATATATTTCAAATAAAAAAACCTCATTAGTGACGGTCTGTAGAGTTAAGGCTGTATTGGATGCACCATATTGTGTTCTGTAGGCCTAATGAACATTTATAATTCATCATAACGTTGATTTGTGTAAGTAATATCTAACACACACAACATATGATATCAATGTCAGTGGTCACCATCACCTGCCTGAACCTGGGGACCAACATCTGCCTCTTATATTGTCATGTTACTAAAATTGACTATAGACTGCCTGCCTAAAGACAACTATTTATTGTGGGTCACAAAGAATTGGTTTTATTCCATATTGTTGTTATTTTCAATAGAACAAGCGGATTTAAAAACTTTATATGCATTTGAGAATGAGAGTGGAATGTGGGCTCTGGTCCAAAATATTTTTTTTACAAAGCATTCCTTTTTTGGGAGGGGGAGGGGGAGGGCGGGTAGATACAAAGAGTGAACCTAACCGACATCAGAATACAGAATCTCTGTGATCGAATTTTTTGTTCTGTTGCTTTTCTGAAAAGTAGGTTTAACGTTATTCAGTGTGAGAAGAACATTTGAAGAAAGTTGAACAAAGAAGTGTTACCAAACCTGTTGTTGTATGACGATGTACAGGTAGAGTTGAGAAACTATAACTCCATCGTCTGATACTAGGTAATGGGTTGTCCATATTTCACGAATAGCTTCTGAACGGAAATTCTACAGGACCGTCGTAGTATCCGAACATAGACCTTCGTCCTTGTGGAAGCAAGGCAGCCCATACATAATACATTACATATCACAACATTCTGTGACGTCATCACTTTATACATATTCGTATAGCGCCATTTCTTCAAACTCGAGGAAGAGGCCATGCGTGCACTATAACTCCAGAACGTGTATTTTGTGTGGTTTATAGTAAATAAACATTGAAAATTCAGTCTTTCATCAAGCAAAAATTATTTCGCAAGGAGATCATGTTATTAGAATTTCTACCTATTCCGAATTATTATGACTTTGTTTTATATCGCCTGGAGTCAAAGAACGTCAGAACTCCGTTCCTATAAAATGTGAGGGAGATACGCGACCTATGCATAGATCGGCATTCAAACCATAATTGGGAGAAGAAATCGTCGTTTGTACATGCATATCGCACATTACCGTTTGAATCCCGACCCATGCACGAGTTATCTGTTTCTCTCACTTCGTACAGAGACGGCATTCCGACGGTCATCGACTCTAAGACGTATATAAAGTCGCAGAACGCTGGGATAATTCAGACTTAATATTTCCCAACTTCCCCATAAAATTTTCATCATAAATTAAAGTATCTAGAGTTTAAATGTGTATCTTGAAACTCGGAGTTGTCTAATTATCATTTCACGAAGTAGATATCAAATATAATTTAATCAAGCTAGTCATCAGATTTTCTTCATGGATATTTTTTTATTGGCCATAATGTGTCAGGTGTATGGAGAGAAACTAATACTACAGAATCAAACGATGAAATGAAAACGGAAGACAACCAAGAAAATTCTGACATGTCAAAATAATCTTAAAATTCATATAAAATTCAAAGCCAGGGCAGAGTAAGAACAAATGATTTACACCAAAACTCATGAAAAAGTACTAAAACAAATTGACTTTGTGTTGCTTCGTCGACGATACCCGCCATGTAAATCTTGGGGATCATTCCAAGGGGCAGTGTCACGTTCCCGAATGGGAACAAGGTAAACAACACCGCTAACCATCAGACAAACTAAAGAGCATTAAACACGTCCAAATTCATACCTCACAAAGAAACGGAGCGTTTCCCAGTGAAATCACTATTACAACTGTAAAATTTCCCAATAATCCTCATCAATTTGAATCTCAGCAAAACGTGTGTTGTCTGTCAATTGCCGACATTCTTGCATGTTGGAAATCATGATGGGGGCAAACATATCGAATCAACTGCAACATGTACAAAGTCGGTGATGCAGGGATGTTGTTATCCAGGAATTGGTAATTCACAAAGGAAAATTGAAATCATCACGCTTATCATGCAGCTTGGTGGGAAGTTGTCCTGTCGGCTTCGTTGTGAGAAAACAACGAGGTATGCGGTTATGAAGAAGAGTCTGTCGTGTCCTTGTTTCAGGTGGGTCTTTACAATGGATATGGTCAATAAATAACTGGTTATTTAAAGAAAAAACCAACATTAGTATATCTAAAAGTGAAATGGAAGATCTTGGCAATTCAGCCACGTTAAAAAAACACAGCTTGTGCTCACAGGCTCTGCATGCAACTGGTCCGCGAATGTAAACGTCAACCATAAATTCCAACATTCTATTCCTAAACTTTAACATTTTTTTTACAGAGATACAGATTATGTACAGAGAGGAAAAATCAAAAGTACTTATAGAATATAAGAATAGAAATGTTTTATAAAAAGATGTTCAAAATTGGTCAAAAACTCTTTGGAGTTCTTTAAGAATAAATTCCATTAATTCCTGTTGTTACAGTAAGACCGTTACCATAATGATACTACTTGGAATGGTAGTAAGAAGATAAGGTTTGGTTGAACAGCTAAACGAGCCAGCAATACATAAACGCAGTTTATAAGGATTCTTGTGGAGTTTAGGAATTCGATATAACTGAGGGAGGTCATTGTAATACCGAAGAGTGAATTTATCATCTTTATTATTTGGAAAACCTTAATTATGACTGTGTAGGGAGGGTCTCTTTCGTTAAAGAGAAAGCACGGCTGTTTTCGTGTGCAGGAAATGTAATAATTTCTGCAAAACAATGATCAGGGTATTGCATGCCTTATCTATAACCACACTACAGGTAACATATCAGTCAGGTAAATCGTGATGTGTGGAATTAATATAAGGTTTTCAGTTTAGATTTCACGCTGCTAATGGTTTTAAGAATGATAGACCAACTGTATTCAACCACTCTGAAAGCGAATCAAAACGCAGTATGGTCTCATTTCAACCACTCCTTGGCAAAGATTTCCAGGGAAGTTCTTGAAATTCACATTCCAGTCAATGAACAGGATTTCACGATATGTTTGGTCATTCATTTTGTCTTTTGTCATCCAGGTTCAGTTGTTATGTCGTTTATTTACAATTGAAAAGTTTGGTCACAAGGTAGTTCAACATGATCAACAGAGAAGGGCAGTGAACAAGTAGATTTATTGAAATGCCGCTGTCTGGCTACAGTACGCCTCGTTTGCTCCTCTGATGAATGGCTAGAGCAATAACGTTAGTTTTAAATGCATCCGTAACTAGAACAAAATCCACGTGTGGTGCAGTAATGCCAAGGTGTCTCAAACGATGTGCTTACGTGTAGGGTTATAAGTGGTAATTTTCTTTCAGACAGTACAGATACATGTAGACATTGATCTTCCCCACGATTTACTGCTGGACGAAGACACGTTGCATTGGCCGTCCATTTGGTTCACTAACATCTATTCAACCCTATTAGCAGTTTTCACAAATTAGGGGTTCTAAACTCTAGCAGAATATTTTTGTTACGTGACAGAACAGTCGTGGTTCTTGTATGTTGCAGGATTTGCATTTTTGTCACGTACAATACTTAACTGATGAAAGAAACATATACGATTAATTTTGCGCGGTTGCAATTGTGGTGAAGATTCCGAATTCCAATAATGGATACCGTACTTCCGTCCTCCTAAACTGCCATGTGAAGTAGCTTCGTTGACGGAAACACTTTTGATTGATGACGTCACTTTGTAAAGTGTAATTTGCGATGTCTTGGAAATATGCCAATGAGTCAACAAGTTTTATCGGTCACGGTTTCCTTAGCCAAAATGGGAGCTTATCACGAACCAATGAATACTAGGTTAGTTGACATATCCTTGTACAAGGCTTTCAACCAGCTTCTCTCCAGACCTTCCAAATCTTCGCGAGCCAAGTTCTTAACTCATTTAAAATAGCATAATAAATGAAATAAAATCAGACATGATATTATAGGTACAGGAACTTGGCTAGACCTTAGTTATAAAGGATAATTTACAAAAAGTATAAAGTTTAAAATCCTTCATATTTTTGTCAGAAGAGTCACTATGATAAAAAAAATAAAAAATAAAAAAAAAATGCTGCAGTAATTATTGGGACTGATTTTAATCTCCCTAGATAGGACTTACATTGGTATTACATTGTCTTATGGACTTTAAATCTTACACCTTTGGAATTCAAACATGCCCCATGATATAATACAACTACCTAGGAAACTACATAAAAAGTAAAGTTATAGACCTTTCCACATCCAGTTACAATGATTTAAAATTAAACCCGCATCACAGTATACCCTTTGAATTCTGTCAATTTTCAATGTATATATAGTAGTCAGTATCCAACCCATTGGCTTTTGTCGACATAGAAAGGTGTACAATTTTTCTGCTCTATAGACATTTTGAATATCCTTCCGATTACTTTTTTTTCTCTTCTCCTTCCTCTCAATTTTTGTTTGTTTCAATTTTCCATTTCATATTTTGTTGAATCGTTTCCTCACTGTTTAGCAGAAATTGTTTATTTCACTCTACATCTTTTTCTCAATTTTTTAAGACTTGTTGGCAGCAAATGCTTTGCACACCTTTTTCAACAGAGGTCCATCAGCGATATTGTTTGCTTTGCTGACCATCTGTTGAATGCACTTAAGATCATCTGATAAAAGATTTAGCTCAACTTTATATGTTACACTGATATCCTGTTCAGTCTTAATTCATTACTATTGGACTTACAAAATATTTCCTTGTTTCGTTCAACTAAAATAATACAAACAAGTATAAATATTCACAAAAATAATTTTTATTCTTTTTAAAAAAAAAAAAATCCATAAATATACTGGCAAATCAGTTTGTTGTAAAACTGGAATGTTGAAGAAGAAATTTTGCTCCAGTTTTCAGGTGGAGCATCTTTGACATAATACATGACTTTAATTTGATGAAGTGTCTACAAAAGTCTCAAAATATATCTAAGTCACACACATGTCTTAAAATCAGAAATGTGTATAAGTTAATCTTATAGTTAAGCAAAGAATATTTTTCAACGATTAGAGCGTACAGGTCTTGTAACAAATATGTCTTACATTATCATTATATCCTACAATCAGACAATTCACATGATCAGAAAACGAAGACAAATCACACAGACACAAATCATACAACTAAATAGAAACATATACAAAGACATAAACAAATCATATAATCAAACTGAAAATCCTACAAAAAGGCAACAGAATCTTACAGACACTGCAGTATTACACTGTCTAGACATACTGGATTGATATCTGATAACGCACAGCCAGACTCTAACCTTACACCAAACACAATAAGCTCTCTTGTAAATATATCTGTAAAAATGTCAAACCTCATATTTAAATCAGACATAAAAAAGCAAACGAATAAGATGTGTCGTCCCACATTCAACGCTTTCATATTATAATTTTCATACTAGATGAAATAACATTTGAAGGCACAGCCCACACATGGATTATGTTACCAGTAAAAAAAGAGTCATGTAGCCAACAGAGTTTCACATAACAATCATGCATTCAAAAGATTTTCACAACACAAGTTCTTATTTTTAACAGGAAGAAAAGTAGTACAGATCATGTGGGTAACCTTTGAATATATATGATATTTTGTGCTACACAAATAGTAGGTAAGGGGAGGTAACATGTATCTGCTTTGCAGTATTTCACACTAAACATTTTTTGTTCTCTCATGCTTTCTGCTCACATCAAACCACAGTAACAACACAACAAAATAATGGCAATAGGTTTAAAAAATGGATTTAGATTTGTTCGTGTCAATAACCAAATAAATGTCTTCTGTACACTGATCTGACAAGAAGAAATATGTCCCGAGTCAAAGGTCGACATTATAAAATAAGAAGACAATGTACTTCATACATAACAGCAACATAAACTTGTTTATATTTAGTATAAATTTCATATAAATCAATATCATTAAATGTTCTCAAAATGACTCATTTTCGTTTGGATATTTTCAAATTATCTAAAAAGAATACTTCCTGAATATTCCTGAGAAAACCTCTATGGTAAGGTCTGTCATTGATGCAACTGGTGGCATATTTCTTTTTGTGTTTTCTGTTTAATTTTTCATTGGAAATTTTATCATTTTGATTAGAAATGTATTGGTCATCTTGTAAGTATTCCACAGCTGGAGTTTTGTATCTTTCATTTGTTGTTTGATTGGTTAAAACAAGGTATGTATGATAAACAGCAAAGGTTCCAATCATAGGAATGAGAACGACTAAGGCAACAACCAGGAACACCAAACGAGGGTACTGTAGGAACAGGTGCTGAAACAAAACACAGAATCAACAATCATTCCTTACACAAGTCTGGGTACTGTAGGAACAGGTGCTGAAACAAAACACAGAATCAACAATCATTCCTTACACAAGTCTGGGTACTGTAGGAACAGGGGCTGAAACAAAACACAGAATCAACAATCATTCCTTACACAAGTCTGGGTACTGTAGGAACAGGTGCTGAAACAAAACACAGAATCAACAATCATTCCTTACACAAGTCTGGGTACTCTAGGAACTGGTGCTGAAACAAAACACAAAATCAACAGTCATTCCTTACACAAGTCTGGGTACTGTAGGAACAGGTGCTGAAACAAAACACAGAATCAACAATCATTCCTTACACAAGTCTGGGTACTGTAGGAACAGGGGCTGAAACAAAACACCAAATCAACAGTCATTCCTTACACAAGTCCGGGTACTGTAGGAACTAGTGCTGAAACAAAACACAAAATCAACAGTCATTCCTTACACAAGTCTACTGAAACAAAACAAAACAAAAATCAACAGTCATTCCTTACACAAGTCCGGGTACTGCAGGAACAGGGGCTGAAACAAAACACAAAATCAACAGTCATTCCTTACACAAGTCTGGGTACTGTAGGAACAGGGGCTGAAACAAAACACAAAATCAACAGTCATTCCTTACACAAGTCCGGGTACTGCAGGAACAGGGGCTGAAACAAAACACAAAATCAACAGTCATTCCTTACACAAGTCTGGGTACTGTAGGAACTAGTGCTCAAACAAAACACAAAATCAACAATCATTCCTTACACAAGTCTGGGTACTGTAGGAACTAGTGCTCAAACAAAACACAGAATCAACAGTCATTCCTTACACAAGTCCGGGTACTGCAGGAACAGGGGCTGAAACAAAACACAAAATCAACAGTCATTCCTTACACAAGTCCGGGTAACTGCAGGAACAGGGGCTGAAACAAAACACAAAATCAACAGTCATTCCTTACACAAGTCCGGGTAACTGCAGGAACAGGGGCTGAAACAAAACACAAAATCAACAGTCATTCCTTACACAAGTCATTCCTTACACAAGTCTGGGCAGGAACAGGGGCTGAAACAAAACACAAAATCAACAATACTGCAGGAACAGGGGCTGAAACAAAACACAAAATCAACAGTCATTCCTTACACAAGTCTGGGTACTGCAGGAACAGGGGCTGAAACAAAACACAAAATCAACAGTCATTCCTTACACAAGTCTGGGTACTGTAGGAACAGGGGCTGAAACAAAACACAAAATCAACAGTCATTCCTTACACAAGTCTGGGTACTGTAGGAACAGGGGCTGAAACAAAACACAAAATCAACAGTCATTCCTTACACAAGTCTGGGTACTGTAGGAACTAGTGCTGAAACAAAACACAAAATCAACAGTCATTCCTTACACAAGTCTGGGTACTGTAGGAACTAGTGCTGAAACAAAACACAAAATCAACAGTCATTCCTTACACAAGTCTGGGTACTGTAGGAACTAGTGCTGAAACAAAACACAGAATCAACAATCATTCCTTACACAAGTCTGGGTAACAAAACAAAACACAAAATCAACAGTCATTCTTACACAAGTCTGGGTACTGAAACAAAACACAAAATCAACAGTCATTCCTTACACAAGTGTGGGTACTGTAGGAACAGGGGCTGAAACAAAACACAAAATCAACAGTCATTCCTTACACAAGTCTGGGTACTGTAGGAACAGGGGCTGAAACAAAACACAAAATCAACAGTCATTCCTTACACAAGTCTGGGTACTGTAGGAACAGGGGCTGAAACAAAACACAAAATCAACAATCATTCCTTACACAAGTCTGGGTACTGTAGGAACTAGTGCTGAAACAAAACACAAAATCAACAGTCATTCCTTACACAAGTCTGGGTACTGCGTCACTGTCTGGGTAGGAACAAACAAAACACAAAATCAACAGTCATCCCTTACACAAGTCTGGGTACTGTAGGAACAGGGGCTGAAACAAAACACAAAATCAACAATCATTCCTTACACAAGTCTGGGTACTGTAGGAACAGGGGCTGAAACAAAACACAAAATCAACAATCATTCCTTACACAAGTCTGGGTAGGAACTAGTGCTGAAACAAAACACAAAATCAACAGTCATTCCTTACACAAGTCTGGGTACTGTAGGAACTAGTGCTGAAACAAAACACAAAATCAACAGTCATTCCTTACACAAGTCCGGGTACTGCAGGAACAGGGGCTGAAACAAAACACAAAATCAACAGTCATTCCTTACACAAGTCTGGGTACTGTAGGAACTAGTGCTGAAACAAAACACAGAATCAACAATCATTCCTTACACAAGTCTGGGTACTGTAGGAACAGGGGCTGAAACAAAACAAAAAATCAACAGTCATTCCTTACTCAAGTCTGGGTACTGCAGGAACAGGGGCTGAAACAAAACACAAAATCAACAGTCATTCCTTACACAAGTCTGGGTACTGTAGGAACAGGGGCTGAAACAAAACACAAAATCAACAGTCATTCCTTACACAAGTCTGGGTACTGTAGGAACAGGGGCTGAAACAAAACACAAAATCAACAATCATTCCTTACACAAGTCTGGGTACTGTAGGAACAGGGGCTGAAACAAAACACAGAATCAACAATCATTCCTTACACAAGTCTGGGTAGTGTAGGAACAGGTGCTGAAACAAAACACAGAATCAACAGTCATTCCTTACACAAGTCTGGGTACTGTAGGAACTAGTGCTGAAACAAAACACAAAATCAACAGTCATTCCTTACACAAGTCCGGGTACTGTAGGAACAGGTGCTGAAACAAAACACAAAATCAACAATCATTCCTTACACAAGTCCGGGTACTGCAGGAACAGGGGCTGAAACAAAACACAAAATCAACAGTCATTCCTTACACAAGTCTGGGTTCTGTAGGAACAGGGGCTGAAACAAAACACAAAATCAACAGTCATTCCTTACTCAAGTCTGGGTACTGTAGGAACAGGGGCTGAAACAAAACACAGAATCAACAATCATTCCTTACACAAGTCTGGGTACTGTAGGAACAGGGGCTGAAACAAAACACAGAATCAACAGTCATTCCTTACACAAGTCTGGGTACTGCAGGAACAGGGGCTGAAACAAAACACAAAATCAACAGTCATTCCTTACACAAGTCTGGGTTCTGTAGGAACAGGTGCTGAAACAAAACAAAAAATCAACAGTCATTCCTTACACAAGTCTGGGTACTGTAGGAGTAGGTGCATGGTTAGACAAAATCTTAAGCAATATGATAACACATTATTATTAAGATTATGTTTTTACCTGAATAACAACAGAAATATTAACAGGCACTGTTTCTCCATCATCCAATAGGACACGGGCCTCCAGGAGTCTAGTGTTCTGTGTGTAAAGCCAGAGGCTCCACCCTCCGACAGCCACTCCTTCCATTGCCATTCCAAGCAAAGTCAGGAGGAACAACAAAAAGTAGCGATGGTTAAGACCTCCTACATCACTGTTGGTCCAGACACAATGGTGATCGAAACGATGTACACAGCGGTTACAAATACCTAGCAAAGCAGATAAAATTCTTATTATTACAAGACAGGTAGTAGAGCAAGAGATCTATAAAATTTCAGCCTGTTATAAACTTGTGAACCAAACAAAACATAGGCTGGCAATTATAGATGATACATTATAACAAAGACAGGGAAAAACAGATTTAAGTTTAGTCCTTTCAACAAGTTTCCATTCCAAAGGAACTGATTAGGACCAACTAATAAAGCTGTAGACAAAAACCAGTTAGACATGACAACCATTTATTCTAAAAGGTAATTCAAAATAAGAATTTCTATGCATAAGAACAGGAAATAATTTGTTAAAAAATCACTTTTCCAGAACATACTATGTATTAAATTGTTGATATTAACACAAATTATGTTATGGAGCTCCAGTACAAAAAAAAAAAAAAAACCTAGAGTACACTTCACTCTTTCATGTTATGATGGTTTAATATGAAATAGAAACCAAGTCATTAGTAATCCTTAAGAAAACAGTAGTGATAATATGGATGGGGATAAATTAGTCTCTGGTGTATTGTTTCAAATATAAGTTGCATGAACAAACTTTCAGACTCGAAATCTGGTACTGAACTTGTACTTACTGCAGTGTTTTGACCTTGCTGGCTTTTGAAGATCACATGTTGAGCAGATCCTGCTAGGTAAATATAATCTCATGTCAAATTTGTATACCTGGGAATAAAACCTCTGGTTTGCTTGAGTGATCTCCCCTGGGTCAGAAGAACAACTTTTATGGAAGAAGAACAAGTTAGTAAAGACGACCACCATGGGCATGAAAGTATGGTTGGCATGTGGGTCCGACAGGTAAAGGATTGGCAGCATATCTTTCACCCAAACTGCATGGCCCAACAACACAATGACAGCAAATATAAACTGCAGGACCTGGTTCCTGAAAATGGTAAAGAATCTTATGTAAAAGGGTAAAGGTTTATAATCATATTAATGTCTAAAATCTGAACAGCATACCATCAATTGAAGTAATAATCAAAGACAATACCAAAGGTAAATCATTTTACCTAGAAAGCCTACAAACAAACCTGAAAGGTCAGGAATTTCCCACCAGGCAAGTGGCAGAGTATCTGACTAGAGATTAAATAGTTCCATCAGGGGCAGAACATGTTTTTCATTACTCTTTCCTAGAACATATTTGATGACCAGGACAGGAGTTCATTATATCTATATATTTGTTAATAAGTATTTGACTGTCTTATTTGCTTCTATCTTCTATAATGATATAAGTGGTATGTGTTGGGTAACTTCTCAGAAGTCCATAGAGAACATATGGGTTTACATGGTGTGCCAAGTACAAATGTAGGAGTCGGTCTTACTAAATATGAATAACATTTCTACACTATTACAACTCAATATCAGAAAATGAAATGGACTTGTTCCTTGAATTTGAAACTCAGTTATTACTATGTTTACCTACAAAGATTTCATAATTCAGCTGTCAACAATCTATGTAAACTTACCTAGTATGTAAAACATTGTAAAGTTTATCATAAGCAGCATCAATAAATCGCTGTGGTATCACAAGAGTCACAATCTGAAAGTATACAGGCATTTCATTGTACACAGACAAATAAATAAATCAATTAAAATGACATATGCCATATATACTACAACCAGTCATTAAGTTATACTGATTATCATTAGAAGCACTGTTAACAATATGTATATAGAAATATTTGGCTGTTTATTGCAATGTATTATAATAAAACCTTGGAATGGAGTGAATAACTTCAAATCGTCAAGTTCTGACACCATTTTCTCCTAATACAATTTTTCGCAGTGATAAGATATACTCAGAACATTAACATTACATATACCCATATCCATTTGTACAATATGAACTTACTGATGATTATATAGGAATTAACAAAACAAACATCTAAATATTATATGTGTCATAGTCTCATAGCTCCTTAAAGTTATTTTCTGAAGAAGATAATTACATATATGTTCCTATAATCAATAACATACTGTAGTATTTTATTACCAAAGTAAGGTCAGACATATACCTCTACTAAAATAGAGCGTAGTTTTCCAACTGGGCCATTCGCTAATGTTGGGGAATCTCCATAGACATACAAGAGTGTGCATAAACCAAACACAGCCACATAAAAAGCTGTCAGCACCAGGAAATCCATTATGACAAATGCTCTGTCAAAACCTTCTTACAGTCACTTCTGAAAGAAAACAATCTATTGACATTCTTACTTTGACTCTTTCCTGTATCCCTACAAATGTGTATGTATACTTGTGTACAGCCAATAATGTTAATTGTTTAATAATTTAATTGAAATGGAGTCTTTAGGTTTAGACTGTACATTAACTTAATGGGGTTTATCATGTAGAACCCTGACCCTGGGATTACTCAAGTCTAATGCTGAATACAGCATGGTTATTTCAAATTATTTGAAAATGTTTTGCCAGTTAAAGCAAATTACAATTTTATACTTGAAATAAGTATTTTCTTACAGCAATAAAATGAACAATGAAGCCTGATGATATAATCTGACGTTGGGCATACCAGAGACGTCTCTGGGCATACCAATGTTTTAACAATACTCCGTCAACAAGTAATCAAATGATCTTAACAAGCCCAGGTGGTGAGAAAAAGAGATGAGTTGGTTATGAAAGCAGACAAAAATACATTTTATACATTGTAGATATCCTAGAAATAACAACCTGACTGCTCATAGTAGTTACAGTACAAATATCGAGCAGCACTCTTCCACAACATAGAGTACTGCATTTCATTGACAATGTCAATATAGGACACACGTGCAACAGATAATAGTACTAACCCGTATAAACTTGATTGTTATCCGTTGCAATCCAAGTAAGTTTGGAAGTCTTCGTTATAAGAACTACATATCCTGTGTGATTTACATCTATAATACAAGTTGTATAAATGTGTATAACTGTGTAACGTGTTGTCTACTTTCTGTTTACCCTTCAAGTCGCAACTTCCGGTTTCAAACACTTACGTGATTTTGAATCAAAGTTGGAGCTGCGCGGGAAAATGAATGTACCATTGTCCGTCAAAAACTTGTATTGTCTGTATTAACATTATGACACGACCAGAGTAATTATAATACTACATATATCTGATATTATTGCGACTGGTCTCGCTGGCAACGCATATTATACGTCTCTGCCCAGTTGTAGGTTGAAGGTGTGGTTCAACCCCCTCCCCCCACCAAAAAAAAAATCCCTGCCAGCGTTCTAGCTTAATTCCTTTTATAAAACTTCACACACTTATAAATGAATGACTATATAAATTTTGGAACAAGTCTGAGTTTCACGATTGTCGGGTTCAAGGTCTCTGTTACTTTTTTTTTTTTTTTAAAAAAAACTTGTAAGCACACCTAATAGCTTCATTCCCTGGGAGATTTTGATCAAACTTCACTTCCATATAAAAGTAGGGCGATAATATCACAGATAAGCCTGAATTTCAATTTGGGAGGGCAAGGTCATCATTATATTGTAACACTAGTAAGAATGTCCTTGCCAGCACTTTGGTGGCTTTATTCCTGAAGGATTTCAAGCAAACTTCACATTCACATAAAGGACCATAGTAGCAGATTTTGAGTTACTTAGGGTCAATGTCGCCATTACTACTCTGAGTAAATCCTCAATGGATTCATTCCTAGAGGAATTGGATAAAACTCCAGACATTTGACCATATATGTTCATCATTGCTCTTGTCCCTCAGTTTGTACTGACAATTTTAAAAAAATTCATTTTGACATAAAGATGTGTTTTTTATTGAGTAATATTTCTGCTTGCAGAAGTATAACTGCACCTTTTTCATCATCTTTTTGGTGTTCAGATATTAACGAGTTTTCAGTCTAGTGGCAATTTTCGTTGCATCCTTATAAATGGAAACGCACAAGACTGTCATTTGAATCCGTGAGAGAGCAGAGTCCCGTGTGTTTCTGATGATGCCCTAGACTTGTTGGATCTTGTCACATTCAACTGTTACTTGTATTTAGACATTCTACATTAGAACATATTTTAGCCTGTGTTCCTCTAGAAGATATTCATGTTATCTGGCCAAGATTTACCAATACTGTAAATCTCCAATAAAATTTGGAAAGTTCACTGATACCAGATAATTACTTTATAATGTACAAAATTTATTGATTATTAGGGTTCCTGTTTGTAAGTACCTGTAGGTATATAGTATGGTTTTTTGAAATCGGTCAGTGACGAAATTTTAAAAAATTCTTTTTTTAAATTTGTGCTTGATGTTTTTGTCTATCCTTTTTTTCATTTGAAAGCAATTTTATAATTAAAAATAAGTTGAATGTCAGAAAAGATTTGTATATAAATAACATCACTTGATAGATAAAAATAATGTGTACATATGGAAAGTTGATGGTTTGGTGACATGGTCGTCTAAACTTGAGATCTCCTGTTAACTCAGCAAGGACCTGTGATAGCTATAAACATCCATAAACTCCAGAACTATAGTGAAAATACCAAGCCGCAGTCTGCTATAAGAAATCAAGCAGAATTTCTTTATTGACAATCTGCAATTTACAGATGTATCTTATAATGGTAGACATGGAATTCTCACCTGTTAATAACTGTAACAGTTTGGCTGTGTAAGTCTATTGATTGGTTGATAGGGTAGCCAGTGATATACATGTGATACAGGTGGCTCACAGTCTTGGATGCCACAAGTATACAATCCATTGATTTGTTTGCTGGTGTGTCTGAATTATTGATAAGATGACGGAAAGTCTTGGCTGAGAACTACTGCAGTCTTAACTATATCTGATTCTGCGAAGTTTTTCTCTAGTCATTTATTGTTTGTGGAATCATTCTTGATATTTTGGATTTACTTAAAATAGCGTTAAAGAAGACTATAGATTATGTACTATTCATTGTTATAGGAGGTAAGTATGTGACTAATACTGTAAGCCTTTAATTATTGTATAATCACGTTTGTAAAGAATTATGAGTAATATTAATTATCTCACATATGTGCCACCACAACCATATTACTCCCTGTTTCACCATGGTCTATTACAACATGTTGAACCAATTATTTGTGCAATACACCTTGATCATTCTTTGTTAATTTCTTTTATGAAATTAGATTAAAAACATCATCTTTTTTGCCCATCAAACCTGTCATTTTCCCTCCATCCATCTAGCACTCGTCTTGTCATAAACAGTTTTTGTTTTGAGATCCGCACAAAGAGTCTTTAAACTTAATCATGATACAATGTTGTGTTTTTGTGAAAGAGGATTTTGATTTGATTTTTTTTTTTTGAAAGGTAATACAGCACTTTGATGCTCTTACTCAATGATCTCTGGCATCAATTTTTCCACTTAAACAGTTTTTCCTCAATAACCAAAAAACTTTGGTTCCTGATATTGTGCTTTTAGGGTGCTAGGTTACAAAGTTTGTTCATATGAATGACCTTGACCCACTTTCAAGACCACAGATGTCAAATATGTTAAAATATTTCAACAGCCTCTTTTTCATATATAAGTGCCCCTGAATTTTGTTATTTCACATTCAACATATATACATGTAATGTAAAGAAATTGTGTGATGTTTGGGTTGAACATAAAACTTGCTAGAATAATTTTTTCAAATAATGTTGTTTCTATAAAAGCTGCAGATCAGCGAGTGATACAGGTCCATTGGTTCTCTTGTTAAAAGAAATTTGGTATGATACAATGCAGTTCTCTAAAAAATTGAAAAATGTCTTGGACATTACTGGACATGATATGAATTATATGTGATGGTTTATTTATCATATTTGGAAACAAGAACCTTATTTCCAATAATTGTTAAACTATTTATAGCACCCTGAAAAATTTCTGCAATCTCAAGTTCATGGAAGAATGAAAACACTAAATATGCCGTTGAGAACAGCACCAAAGTGGCCAAAACATTATGGATTTGATATAATTGGAGAAGGACCATGTTATGTTGTCAATGTGGAGAAACGTAAGGTTGCCTATGGGGCAGGGCTGATGCCTGGAGATCAAATATTGGAGCTTGACGAGCAAGATGTTACAAACTTGTCATCTGAAGACCTGAAGTCTTTAGCCAAGAACAGCAGATCCCAGCCTCCAACCCTTGGTGTAGTGGCTCGTCGCCAACAGGTGGAACTTGTGTGTAGTCGGACAGGAGGCTGTGGATTTGAAGTCTCTGGAGAGAAGCCTGTGAGAATTCAACATGTAGATCAGGCCTCACCAGCTTTTATTGCAGGGCTGCGAGAAGGTAACTACCAGTACTGAATTTCTTGTGTGTGCTATTGTAAAGAGTACCATATTGATCCTGCAATAAGTCCACCACATATGGGGCTAGAATATGGGAATGGACTTGTCACAGAACACAGAAGTAGCATAGGTTTTCTATTTTACTGAAAAGCAATTATGCTGTACATTTAATTTGCGAAAAATAATACCCAGCAAACATTTAACATGAATCAAAATATAAAGAAATTTATGTATACCAATTTATAGGCATGCAGAATTTAATCCTCCATGAATTAAAACCACAAATTCTTTTTTTTTTTTTTTTTAAGTTTAGAAAAATATTTATTCCCTCAGCAATTAATTTGGAGGAGGCTGCCAGGGTTGAGGAGCCCTGGGATCAGCCTCCATACAGATAAGTGCCATCACGCAGGATGCCTCTCATTCATCATACAAACACACTTCCATGTAGACACTTACATGTAGCCATTAGAAACAATAAATATTTTGGTAAACCTAATTTAAATAGACAGACATAACAAGTAGAAATATTTACATAAACAACAAAACATGGTAAACAAGCAGGACAGACATACAAATAGGTTGTACAAGTGACATTCTAGACAAGAGATATCAAACAAAAACAAAAAAAAAACAAGAAAAACAGTGTAACATAGTACAGTGCTAAAAAAAATGTGATACTTATCTATTTTGATTTTTTTTTAGGAAAGGAACAGGAGTGTTGACTATCATTACTAAGTAAGCAGCTTTTGAGAGAATTATGTGTGAGGATTAGATTCTAATAGAGTTGACCATTTTCTCCAAAAGGTTTTAAATTTCTCGAATTCATTTTGATTTTTCGATATATACGTTTGCACTTGATAAGTTTCCTTAATCTCATTTAAAAGTGCAAGTATAGATAAGCTATTTTTAAGACATTTTGTTTTATATATATAATATTTAATGATTAAACTTATCAGATTGTCAACTGCATCCTTTGTTTTATCATTGCTTAAGAAACCAAAAAGGAAAGATTTCTTATTTAATATAAAGTTAATACGAAAAATCTGAGACAGTCTCTCAAAGCTAAGTAACAGTCGTCTCACCTCTTGACAATCCCACAAAATGTGTTCAATTGTTTCTCTATTTGTTTTACATAATGAACATAATGAGGTATCAGATAAACTGATAAATTCAAACAACTGCACAGTACATAGTTGAACTACTTACCAGATAAACATTATATATGATGTTTTAACCAACACAATAGGATCATTTTCCTTACAGAAATTTTGCCAATACATACAAAATATCTGAACCTCCAGTGCAGCATATCAAAAAATTATGCCATACACTGTATGTTGTCAACAACGGGTATTTCAAAGATTATGCTGTACACCCATTCCAGATTACTGTATTTAAAATGTGTGATATCATAAAGTTGTTGGTTATTAGCTTTCTACTGTTTCATATGAAGGTTTGTCATATACTGTATAGTTGTTAAATTTCACAGGGCTAATATTTCGGGGTTGTCCCAGTTTGGGGTAGACCACGAGTATCAAATTTCATGCTTATCTATAAACTGTTGTCCGTATATACTGACTTTACATGTAATTTCATTCACTGTAGAAATATTCGCCGGGTATTTCATTTTGCATTATTTTTATTGGCAGTGAATGTTGCAAAGTTAACCTCCTCTCAAATATCACCAACTATATAGAAGTCAATTCAGTTATATATATTTCAAAATGACTAATCAATGATAATTAACTAATTAGAACTACGCTTGTTGATAACCTGATGGTTCCCTCCAGGTGACATCGTCTTGGAGGTGAATGGTCAGAATGTGATGCGGACTGAAGACATGATAGATGTCCTGCAAGGAAATCTGCGCAGACTGACCATTGGAATAATTCCAGTTGGAAAACAGAAGGAGACAGGGGGTAATATTCGCAAAGTCAAACACAGATCACCAACAGGAGGAAGCAGAATCCAACGGGCACGTAACCTCCACAATAAGGTAATATTGTTAGTCTTCATAAGTACAGCGAACCAAATCAGCTGCACAGCCCCACTTACTTACATGTCAAACATATTAAGTGTTTTTGTATAAAACTTCTGAGATAAACATAACACATTTCCTTACAGTTGAAGCATTAATTGGAATCAGTCCTTTTTATTTGGTGATCACTGCTACAGTTGATAGGCATAATTTCATATTTTTTTAATCCATGAAACTCAGGATATTAAGTATGTCTTTTTATGATAATGCACTAAGATCTCTACCTATAGAGTAATGTGTAAGGACTATTAAACAGATCTGTCTGCTCCTGAAGTACAGATCGTTGATTTGATATTTGGGAGTTTGTTGAAGATGAGAATGTATATATACCTGTACGTGTAGCAATTGTAGTGTTGTTTAATAAGAGGTTCACTTCCAGAGGTAGGTTTTTACGATGTAAAGGTGAAACTATTTGTCTGAAGCTGTTGTAGTGTTGTTTGATAAGAGGTACATTTCTGAGGTAGGTCTATCAGGTGTAATGGGAGACTGTATTTACCTGTACATGTACACCTTTAGATGTAGGCCCATCGGGTATGTGTTTAAGGGAGACTTATTTGCCTAAAGCTGTTGTAGTGTTGTGTAATAAGAGGTAAACCCCCAGAAGTAGGCCTATCAGGTGCACAGGTGAAAATGTTTACCTGAAGCTGTTGTGGTGTTCTGAAATAAGAATATTTACATCTCCAGAGTTAGGCCTACATAAAGCTGTGGTAGTGTTGTGTAATAAGAGGTACATCTCTAGAGGTAGGCCTATCAGGTGTAGAGGTGAAACTGTATTTACCTGTCATAGTGTTGTATAATAAGAGGTACACCTCCAGGGGTCGGCCTATCAGGTGAGGTATCTATTATTGATGGTCAATCAGACTGTTGGATGATAAACCTAGTTATTGATTGGACAGGTGTGTAAGACTACATTTACGATGTCACAGTTGTGGGAAAATACTGTCTACACTTTTTATGGTTATCACCAGATGGTTCATTAGGACTGGGTGTATACCATAGTGAGGTCTCTGTACAAAATAAGATCACACAAATGTTGTCTTTTAGTCACTTTTTTTTATCCATAGGGTTAATAGTGAAAGGAAGAGGGGAGTAAATGCACCTATAATTGGTGCACTTTTGGCCTACCATTATTTATGTATAGATATACTAAAACGAAAAAGAAACGCCGTGTAACCTACAAAGATTCTTTTAAATGATATAATTTAATGTTACATTATTTCATTCATTTTTGTATACAATTTCATCTGTTTGGAACCATTTGTTGAAGGTTCTATCGATTATCAATGCTAATTATGCCAAAAATATCCCCCTTTTAGCGATGACCCTACTTGTATTGCGCAACACGGCCGGACATTTCAGTATCTTGTGTGTCCTCCATGCGCAGCTGTCGCAGCCCTGATTCTTCTATGCATGGAATTCATCAGAGTGTTAACCCTTGCAATGGGGATGTTGTTCCATTCTTCATGCAAGGCACGTGTGAGCTGGACCAGATTAGTGGGGGCATTTGGACGTCTCCTAACTCTCCTATCCAATTCGTCCCACAAATGCTCAATTGGAGACAAATCTGGACCGAACGCTGACCAATCGATTGGGATTACGTTATTGTTGGCAAGAAATTGCTGACAAACTCTAGCGACATGGGGCCGGGCATTGTCTTGCTGGAATATCAGGTTCCGTGCTTGCACACATGGCACTGCAACTAGGCGAAGGATTTCGTCTCTATACCTTATGCCGGTTAAATTACCGTCAATCACGATCAGGGGTGATTTAAACCCATAGGAGATACCGCCCCAAACACATACTGAACCACCGCCAAACCTATTCCACTCAGCGATGCACGCGTCGATGTAACGTTCTCCTCGACGTCGATATACATGACGTCGCCCGTCCGAACGGTAGAGAGTGAACCGGGATTCTTCAGTGAAAAATACCCGTCTCCATTGCCTCATAGGAAAATTTCTGGGCGAGTGTGCTTGTAACCAAGCCAATCGGCGTTGGCGACGCGCAGGAGTTAGGGGCAGACCAACGTAGGGACGTCGGGCGCTTAGGCCATTGATGCGTTATCGGTTTCGAACTGTATCAGGATGAATATGGCGGTAATGACAGCCTATAGTGTTATTTGCAGTTTCAGTAGCTGTGAGATGGCGATTACGTAAGTGAGAAAATCTTACAAACCGATCCTGATGTGGCGTCATGACGCGCGGATGTCCACTTCGCGGTCAGTCGATGACCCTCCCCGTCACTCGCACACGTTGGACAAGACGTTGAATTGTCCGAATATGCACACCAAAATGTGCAGCAACCTGAAGGTGGCCCTGACCCTGCAAAAGCATTCCTATAGCCTGTCCCCGTTGGACTTCCGTCAATCGTGGCATGGATGTAAATTGCTTAATTCGAATCAAACTTTGAAAAATCAATCCGAATACTTGAACAGTATTAAATAGACTGAAAATTTCCATTGGCGAACTCGATGACCTTCCCCTGCACGGGATTCTTGTATTGTAGCACGTGCCTAGCATGGAGCACGGAGGTCAGGTATTGTGTGATTTTGAACACGTGTACCTAGTGATCCTGAACAACACATCAACCTGAGTGAGTGTCATTATTCTAGGCCAAGCAATAAAATCATTTGTAGTATATTTAGTGTACCCGGCATTTATTTTTCGTGTTAGTATATATATATATAAATGTATAAAGTGTAAACACTTAATAATGGGTTGTACAAGTAGAAGTCTTCATAATTGATTGTGAAGGAAACAATGATTATGATAAAAAATTTGACACCTCGTGCGCTTACATCCAGGCCAACAAGAGCGATTTGTTAAATACTAAATGGGCCGCATTGTTTTCATGCCCTGTTTATGTTATACTGCCACCTGATGATCTTTCCAGCTCTATATAGTTCCCTGTCAGGTTGATCGACCCAGTGGACACGACTGTTGTAACCTGATTAGTTATCCTTTATGGTGAGGTCTCAATAATTGAGGTAGTTTAGTAGTGTATTGGATGAACACAGGCAGCTGTGCGCAATAAATTCCCGTATAGATTTAATTGTCACAACATTACCATATTTTCACCAGACACTTGATAGAGAAATCTATAGTCTATACATATTAGGTGAATATCACTGAAATTAATGTACACTTGACAGTCTATGCAGAATCAGTCCTGAATATAGAACTTCAATTTCCAGGCTATGAAAATCAAATGGTAGAAACTTTTACCTCATTAGAATGAAGTAGGGAGATCTCAAAAAGATTATTATGTTTGCATACAAGAGGCATGCTGAGTGTGTGCAACTAAATAATCTTTTCCTGAGGGTTGAGATCTCCCATCTCACACTCTAGTGGATGGATGATTATTTTGTTATCTTGATGCTTGGCATTAACTTGAGGTTATTGTCAAATGAAAGGGGAGTTCCCCTCCTCAACTCAGCTGTGAGCCAAGGAAATCTCACAAGTGTTAAAATTGTATCCAAGGTAAGAGAAATGCAGGTACATGCACTACATTACAATATATCATGATAAACAATCTTACAATCATTGGAAGTAGAACACCACATTCAATACTTATTGTCTGTACTCCTTTCTTTACTTAATGATGGATAATTAGGGTATTCTGTTAGAACTTATTATAATACCCCCCTTCTGGGTAAAGTAGGGACGATATTGAAATTTGTGTCAATTTGTCCATCATCCATAAGAAAACAATTGAACTGCGAACAAGATATGCCTAACTCCTGAGAAAGAAATGCTTCTATACCCCACATCTCATGAACACTTTGAATATTTCGAGGTCAGAACTCTTCAGAGAGGAATAAAGACTAGAGGTTCATGTATTGAAACCCATATTATGCTTTAGGAGTAGCAGACTGTAAAAGGCTTATTTTGGCCATTGTCAAATCATACATTTTCATGGGGCTCAACTTTTTGGTTTTTCAAAAAATCACTATTTCATGGACATTTGCTTTCTCTACTGTATAGCTCAAAAACTTATACTGCATTTGACAGTTTATGTATACATGAATATGTGGATTAAGAGTACTTATAAAATAAACAAAAATAATTCCCCCACAAAATTAATGATTTCACAGTATGTTTCATAACTCCTGTGTTCTAATGGAAACTATGACAACAAATGTGGCTTATTTTCTGAAAAATCTTACAAATAAACTTGATACTGGTTTATAATACTATATCTTTGGAACTTGCAGATGAATGAGATTCTTGGGGATGATTATGAGAAAAAAATGGCAGTGGTTGGTGTAATGAAACAGTTTGCAGAAGACAGAGATATTGACATCTTGGCAAGAGCTTTGGCTGTCATCCTTAAAACTCCACATCAGCAGAGAATTGTCAGACAGATCAGGTGTGTATTTTGTTCAACAGTTTCATGTCCTCACAGGTTACCAAGATCTTGACCCATACAGCAATGTGACAAATTACTTGTTCTTCTTAGGTCACCATGTATATGTCCCACGCCTTACTCGTAACCTACCATTGTCCTAAACAGCCATGTGACCAAATACTTGTCCTTCCTAGGTCACCATATAATTGTCCCGTGCCTTGCTTGTAACCTACCACTTGTCCCTTATAGCCATGTGACCAAATACTTGTCCTTCCTAGGTCACCATATAATTGTCCCGTGCCTTGCTTGTAACCTACCACTTGTCCCTTATAGCCATGTGACCAAATACTTGTCCTTCCTAGGTCACAATGTATTTGTCCCACGCCTTACTGCCAGGTGACTGAGGATTTGTCATTCCAAGATCATCATGTTCTGGTCTCTGGCCTCCCAGGTCTTCTAGTACTTGTTTGATACAGCCAAACCAGCATTTACCTGTCCCACCAAGTCAACATGTACTTGTCCTTTGCTTCAGAGGTCTCCAAGTACTAATGCTCCATCCAGCTGTGTGACAGATTACTTCTACTTTCCGGGTCATCATGTATTTGTCCCTGATTTCACAACTCACCAAACTTGTGTCCTATACAGTGGTCTGTGTACATGGTATATATCTCTGAGTGTTTTAAGTAATATTGTAATTCACAAGTTCTCTGTGTATTTAGTACTTCCTCCTTAAGTCTTTGATTAATATCCCTTGTAGGTTTCAATTGAATATCCCTTATTTTCTTACAAGAACAAGGTACCTATTTATTTTTAACAGACCAGTTCCTTTCTTGGTGTTTCAGGGTTCCACAGCTAAAGACATGGTCACTTTTACTAGTTGTAGGAAAATCAACCATTCAGTGACATCTCTGTACCATCTTTATTTCTTCAGTAATTTTGGTCAAATGATACAAAAATAATACATGGGAATATCTCTGATGTGTTTATATTTCAAGGCTTGCAAGGTCAAGGTCATTGTAAGTCCATTAAGGAGATTTTGATCAAACTACATTTTGCATGCAAAGGTCATGTGTGAGAATGCCTTGGATGAATGTGACACTTTCAGGATTATTAGGGATTCAATTTATAAGTTCAGATTTCAGGGTTTCAAGGTCAAGGTCATCATTACTATTTATAGACTATCCACAACCAATTCAGTGAAATCACCCTATTTGGTTAATTTCTGGTAGGGTTTACATCAAACTATATTGTGAAAATATCTCATTTGAATGTTTCACAGTAAAATTCATGGTTTCTGTAAATATGAATTTCTCAATAAAATGTAAATGCTTTATCATTGTTAAATATAGTAATTTCAAGTTTGCAGAGGTATTTAAGCAGGAATAAACTTGTCCTGGGATAAAAACTTGATTATTTCTTTTCAGGCAATTCATTCCTCCCCGCAAACGATCCCAATTTGATGAAATAATACGTCAGCAGCAAAGCCTGTCTGCTAATGACAAGCCTCACACTGGAAGGGGTGATTCAAGGGGTCCACCGAATCATCAGCATGGCATGGTCAAGTAAGTTAGCTATACCTCAAGTAATTAGTGATTACGATGTATGGTAGTTACAGTCATGTTGGTAATCTTTAGTGTGTTTGTTCCGCAGGTAAAGGCAGTCATGTCACTTTACTCTACTGGTACTTTCCACCATCTTGTACATTGTATGAATTATGAATGATGTATACACTGTATTACATTTTAGGGTGATGGGGTTGGGGGAACCAAACAAACAAAAAGAAAAATGAAAAGCACTTCAAACTACATCAGATGTTCCTTGCTTTCAGGGCTGTACAGGTAGTTAGAAATGGAGGTAACTTTGGCTTTGTGATCAAGGGTAACAATCCTGTGTTCATTGAGACAGTAGACCCAGGCGGTGCTGCAGAGAGGGCTGGACTTCAGCCAGGGGATCTCATCATGAAGCTTAATGGTATTGATGTAAGGTAAGTTGAAGTGAATGCAACACTGAGGCAGATTACAAGCCCAGTATGTTCTACTACAATATTTTGTAAAGTTAGATAATGGACCACCTAGGCCTTGCATGATCAAGACTTTTATAGTCCTTCTTTATGAAACAAACTGTTTTTAATGTTCATATTATAGAATGTATGTTTTCATTTAAAGGGTAATGACTTCCTGCAAAATCTTCTATCTGCAGTCAAAAGCATCCTTTGATAAAAATGGTGAAGACAAAAGGTTGATGTCTAAAGTAAATCATGAAATCTAAAAAATATTTAAGAAGCTGCAGATTATTTTTAAATTCTTTAAGTACAGACCTTTTGTATCCTAGCTACTGAGGTATTACATACAGTCTCTACTGAGATATTACATACAGACTCTACTGAGGTATTACATACAGACTCTACTGAGGTTTTACATACAGAATCTACTGAGGAATTGCATACAGACTCTACTGAGGTATTACATACAGTCTCTACTGAGGTATTACATACAGACTCTACTGAGGTATTACATACAGAATCTACTGAGGTATTATATACAGACTCTACTGAGGTATTACATACAGTCTCTACTGAGATATTACATACAGAATCTACTGAGGTATTACAGTATTACTCGAAGAAAAGTAACCCATCAGATTTATCATTTTTGGTAGGCGATGTGGACATTCTCACTTGGTGCAGCTGTTCCAAGATAGTGGCAGTGCCCCCCTTATAGAGGTGGTCCGGCTCACTGGTGACACTAATGGTAACAACATTACTTCATATTGGCAAAGCAGTTTCAACATTTATGATTTTATCTCTAAAACAGATGGTGCTGTAGGTTTGTTAATAGGTCTCTCTGTTCACATGTAACTTTGCCCATGTTATATTTCAAAATCTCTGTTTTATTTAATGTCAGTGGGATCTCTGTCATCACTTTATATAAAGAGGTTTGGCCATTTGTTTATGGTGCTTAAGTTTTAGGGGTATATTTCCTATCTAATATACACTGTAATTTGCCCAAAATATCTCTGTAATCACTTCTGGAATATAGTGAAACTGGGTCTGGTGCAACACTGATATAAAGAGATATTTTCCTTTATACATAAGATTAGAACTGTTGTAATAACCTGCTATAGAGTATAAAAGGTGATGTTCCAGAGGAATTGTATGGAATCATTTTTGTCTGACATTCACAGCTGGTCTAGTCGAAGGTGGAACAGGCTCAGTGATTTCCATGTCAAGCGTATCCAGCCATGCCTCCTCAGCGTGGATGACTACAGACGAGACACCTAACATTGATAGAGATGGTAACACATTCAAACAGAAGGTTTGTGCTCTTTTGTATAACCTATATAGTGACTTTTTTTTATTAAAATTTTGTCCTCCCATATTGCTTTACTTTACCTGTGAAATTCACCAAGATCTTTCACCTGTTTTAGGCACATTACCTGCTGACCTCCAAGGAAAGGTCAAAGATGAAGAAAGCAATGCTAGACTATGACAGGTCGAGGTCAGTTGAAAAACAGTTACATTATTTGCTGAAGATATAAATTGAAATTTTTGAAAACCTGGTGAAGAAATTAACCATCTTTTTTGAATGACATGACATTTACGATACCAGAACATGTGAAAAGGAAACATGCATCATAAAAAATCCCAAAATGATCTCATAATTAAAATGAAAATTGTTTGTTGTAGAAATATTGTGGAGTTATTCAATGCCCTCTCCCAGGTGATGGACACACCATCAAAGAAAGTCTTGTGGAAATTCATCCTGGCCAAGCTATCATCTGCTCACCAGGAGTTCTGTATAACCAGAATCAACCACCCTCAGCACATCCTCATGGGTGAAAATTGATTCTTATACAACACTATAGTATATGTGCCAAACAGCCACACAAAACGAACATTTATTTTTTGTTATTTTATATTGATCTTCAGTACACGTTAAAGTCTTAAAGTGTCCGCACAGGTGTGACTTTTAGACCTGTATCTTCATTTTCATAAGAGGACTATTTATTGTATCCTTCTCATCCAACAGCTTTACAATGCAGCTGTAATGGAGTATACATGGTCAGTCTCATGAGCTTTTTTGGTGAGGGTAAAGAAAGATAAAAGTGAAGAGCCTTTGACAACCACTCATACTTTTTTTTTTATATATATAATTTCTATGATAAAATGTATAAATCTTGATCACTATTAATTACTTTGACTCTTTCCACTTTCAGAAATAGTTGATTCCTCAAACCAGACCAGTCAGTTTTATGACAAAAACCTTGGCAAGGAAGTGCCCCCTCCCTGGGCACTGAAAAGTAGGTGTTGTATATTTTATACCTTGATGTACTGGAGAGTTGATCGGAAATTGTGAGATGTTGATGGCTGGTCCTAAGATGTGCCTGATAACTAATTAAAATATTTTTAGTTAGGAAAATCCTGATAACACTTAGTGAATATATATAATGTGCAAAAATTATGTTGTAGGCTCCATTGGTTAAATGAAGAGTTTTTCTGTTCCTTATAAAATTGCATTGTACATTGAACCTTGTAAATCCGTATTTACATAGTTCCCTCCCAAAGTTATTCGAATTCAGGTTCTAAGATTGCTTGCCTCTTTTCTTTTGCATTTATGTTTGATGTTGCCTGCTTTTCCACAGGTGTTTCATAAGTTCCTGAATGAATATAACCTCTTCATATGTCCTTCCTTGTGTCTTTCTCAAATCACCAAATAAATCAATACTAGTCCAATCATCATTAAACTCTTTGTACAAATATTCATATGGCATGCATTTTTGGCCTCAGTGACATTTGTTATGTGTAGACTTTGTCTTAACTTTTTACCATCAAAGTAAAAATAGGAGAATTATGCTTGCTAGAGTTTCTAGGTTTGTGTGCTTCTTCTCTGGAAGTTAAGGTTCTGTTAAAAGTTTCCAAATTCGTTATCAATCCTTGAACGATTTGCTTGTTATTATTACCAAGATGGTACAGAGGCCTGGGGTCAGACAGGACCACACTTGGCATCCTTCCAACAACAAGTGGAATACCTGCTTACCTCCAGGGAACGTTCACAGCTGAAGAAGGCCCTCCAGATTTATGCTGAGAACAGGTCAGATAACCTGAGAACAGGTCAGATAATCTCAAAACAGGTCAGATAATCTCAAATCAGGTCAGATAACCTCAGAACAGGTCAGACAATCTCAAAACAGGTCAGATAAGCTGAGAACAGGTCAGATAATGTCACGAAAGCAAAATTTGCAACAACTACCTTTCAACTTGAGTTTCAGAAATTAGAAGACATTTCACAGTCACACTCCCTTAAGAGATTTCCAGTCATACTCCCTTAAGACATTACACAGTCACACTCCCTCAAGACATTTCACAGTCACACTCCATTAAGACATTTCAGTCACACTCCCCTATGACATTTCACAGTCACACTCCCTCAAGATAATTCACAGTCACACTTCCTTAAGACATTACACAGTCACAATCCCTCAAGACATTACACAGTCACACTCCCTTAAGACATTTCACAGTCACACTCCCTCAAGACATTTCACAGTCACACTTCCCTAAGACATTTCACCGTAACACTCCCTCAAGATATTTCACAGTCACACTTCCCTAAGACATTTCACAGTCACACTTCCCTAAGACATTTCACAGTCACACTTCTCTAAGACATTACACAGTCACACTCCCTCAAGACATTTCACAGTCACACTTCCTCAAGATATTACACAGTCACACTCCCTCAAGACATTTCACAGTCACACTTCCCTAAGACATTTCACCGTAACACTCCCTCAAGATATTTCACAGTCACACTTCCCTAAGACATTTCACAGTCACACTTCCCTATGACATTTCACAGTCACACTTCCCTAAGACATTACACAGTCACACTCCCTCAAGACATTTCACAGTCACACTTCCTCAAGATATTACACAGTCACACTCCCTCAAGACATTTCACAGTCACACTTCCTCAAGATATTACACAGTCACACTCCCTCAAGACATTTCACAGTCACACTTCCCTAAGACATTTTACAGTCACACTTCACTAAGACATTTCACAGTCACACTCCCTTAAGACATTTCACAGTCACACTCCCTTAAGACATTTCACAGTCACACTTCCCTAAGACATTTCACAGTCACACTCCCCTAAGACATTTCACAGTCACACTCCCTTAAGACATTTCATAGTCACACTTCCCTAAGACATTTCACAGTCACACTTCCCTAAGACATTTCACAGTCACACTCCCTTAAAATTGTTGATGAAAATGATTTTATCTCTATGGATCTAACAGACAAGTGACCAATACAATTAATGATCATATTCTGCTGCCAAAAAAGATTTTCAGAAATTCCCAAAATTAGATGGTATAACATTGATTTGTTAATTGCAGGAAAGTAGAGAACTTAATTCAGGACCTAGAAGTCATTTTAGACACTCCATCAAAGCAGACTCTTTGGATCTACATCATACCCCTTCTGGTAGCTGAGCACCAGGAATATGCCCGCCATCGGCTAAATGTACACCACAACATCAAAGGTATGTACCACAGTTATATAACACTCCAGGATATCATACAGAAGTAAGATGACACCACACCACAACATCAAAGGTATGTACCACAGTTATATAACATTCTACACATCAAACAAACATTGTGACTTCCTACTACAGAACCACAGTGTTAAAAGTTCATACCACAGGCTTCAAATACACTTGAACACAAGGGTAGGTTACCTTAGAAACCACTACACTTGTACGGTACCTCTAGCTGGAAGGTATGGGGTTATTACAGGTTAGAAAAGTAGCATTAGTTCTTTATTTTACTGAACAGAGAAAGATCAGTGTGGGCTTATTACCAGACATGGGCTTATTGATTGATAAATATGATGTGTACTTTTACCACTGATTCAACGTTAACAACATCAAGGCTCTACATGTATACCTGCCCCGACCTTAATATTAACATGGTGTCAAAGGTATGTATGACAACTACATTAACCCAATACATATCTCAAAACCACTGTTAACTGACCTGTATGCTAAATACCAGTATACGGCTGAATGATTTTTTTATGTATCATTCAGCTGTATAGTTGTATTTAACACATATATTTTATATGTTTTATGCTGATTTAAAAAAGATTGTCAAGACTAAAACTTACATTTTTTTTAAATCCTTTACATAGTTAATTTACTTAGATAAATGATGCAGAATGTTGCAAGACTAAAGTATAGTGTATAATATACCTTAAATAAGGATATGCATTTGACATGTCTGTTTTATTATAATCTTTCAGGCCTACCACCTGGTAAGTGTGAATCTCTTATCCATACACAAGCTGAGCAAGTGGAGCCCCAGTATAGCACTGAGGATGAGTTTGAAATAGGTATCCCCAATAGTCCTTTTCCTTTTACATGCTTGCATGATCCTTCCTGCCTAGGTTTCCATCCCTTAGTAAAACTAGTTTTGTCTCTTGACTTCTGTCTCTTAATAGGCTGAGTATCCTCTTCCCTGTAACCTTCCTGTCATCTTTAACAGGTCTTCTTTTTAACTGAACTTTCTTCTCACATTGTTGATAAATCGAACTCTCCCTGCTGAACTTTCTTTTAACAGATAGGCCATATGACCTTTCTGTCATCTTGTAATTCTATTTTTCCCTCTAACACTCCAGTCCTTTTGTACGTCTTCCCTCCTCTTCAACCTTTCCGTCAACTTTTTGATCCTCCCACTTTCCTAACCTTCCTGTATGTAAGCTAGATGCTCCCACATCCCAGACCATTATGCCATCTTGTAGATGCTCTAATTTCCCACACCTTCCTGTCATCCTGTAGATCCACCCACTTCTCTAACCTTCCTGTCATCTTGTAGGTCCTTCCACCTCTCCAACCTTCCTGTAATCTTGTAGATCCTCCCACCTCACTAACCTTCCTGTCATCTTGTAGATCTTCCCACCTCTCTAACCTTCCTGTAATCTTGTAGATCCTCCCACCTCACTAACCTTCCTGTCATCTTGTAGATCTTCCCACCTCTCTAACCTTCCTGTCATCTTGTAGATCCTCCCACCTCTCTAACCTTCCTGTAATCTTGTAGATCCTCCCATCTACCTAACCTTCCTGTCATCTTGTAGATCCTCCCACCTCTCTAACCTTCCTGTCATCTTGTAGATCCGCCCACCTCTTTAACCTTCTTGTAACCTTGTAGGTCCTCCCACCTCACTAACCTTCTGTCATCTTGTAGATCCTCCCATCTACCTAACCTTTCTGTAATCTTGTAAATCCTCCCACCTCTCTAATCTTCCTGTCATCTTGTAGATCCTCCAAACCTACCTTACCTTCCTGTCATCCTGTAGATCCTCCCACCGCTCTAAACTTCCTGTAATCTTGTGGATCCTCCCACCTACCTTACCTTCCTGTCATCCTGTAGATCCTCCCACCTCTCTAATCTTCCTGTCATCCTGTAGATCCTCCCACCTACCTAACCTTCGTGTCATCCTGTAGATCCTCCCACCTACCTAACCTTCCTGTCATCCTGTAGATCCTCCCACCTCTCTAACCTTCCTGTAATTTTGTAGATCCTCCCACCTACCTTACCTTCCTGTCATCCTGTAGATCCTCCCACCTACCTAACCTTCGTGTCATCCTGTAGATCCTCCCACCTACCTAACCTTCCTGTCATCCTGTAGATCCTCCCACCTCTCTAACCTTCCTGTAATCTCATGGATCCTCCCACCTACCTAACCTTCCTGTCATCCTGTAGATCCTCCCACCTACCTAACCTTCCTGTATGTAACCTAGATGCTCCTACATCCCTGACCTTTATGCCATGTTGTAGATCCTCCCATCTACCTAACCTTCCTATCATCTTGTAGATCTTCCCACCTCTTTAATGTCCCTGTAATCTTGTAGGTCCTGCCACCTCACTAACCTACTTGTCATCTTTAAGTTCTTGCAATCTCCAATTTCTTGTCACCTGGTATATTGTAGGTGTTTGTCATATGGGATGTCCTTTGTCTTCCTTTACACTGCTATCATCTTATAGGTCATCTCTCCACACCAAACTTCTTGTTAACATCATCCTGTTACAATGTTCCTATTCCAGAATTGTTCTGACTTCAAAGCTAACCTGTTTATTTAATCTGCTTCTTACAAATGTAATTAAGAGTTCATTATGTTACAATGTCTCTACTACTGTTTAGCGTATAATGGTCATGCTCAATGCTAATTTTTGTTTTATAATTTGTATTGAGTAAAAGATATGATGCATGATCTAAATAAGTAAAATCTTATACAAAGCACCTCTGAATTTTGGCTATAGCTGACCAAAGGTGGTTCCAAGCGTTTTCCTCCCATTATATTCCATGATGATGTTGATGCTTGGTGTTTTTTCAGTTGCATCCCAAGACAAGCATTGATCATGAAAACTGTTTAATCACCTGCATTAATAGTTGTTCTTGTAAATATGGAAAATTGGATTGCCATGTCAATCTTATGTATAGATTGTGAAATCAATGTCATAATCACATATCACAGTTGATGTAACATTCATGCCACCTGTAATTAATGCTTATACCACACCTGTATGATCACCTGTCTGCTTGTCCTACAGTGGGTGTTGCAGCTGCTGCCCTAAGGAGAGGAAGGGAATATCTGGTATGTTTAAGCATTATTTGTGTAGTATTATTGTATATAAACTAAATCAGAGTTCATCAGCATGAAAACTGTGTGCTTAGTGTTTTTGTTTGTATAGTTGTACTGGAACTGTAAGTATACATGAAATTTCATACTGTTGAAGAATTTTTGCAAATTATTGTAATGTTGATGTACACAAAATCTCATTGAATGTAGTTATGGAAATTTCTTGAAAGTTAATAATTTGTTTTGTATAATTTGTTTGTCATATTGAAGATTGAGAATTGGAAAAGGAATTAATACACAGTGTAAGCTGTACTTCTTATCCCATACCATTTTTATATATGTGCTAAATTGTTGAATATTAAATAAAATATTGTTTTAACTAAAACTTTATATGTACTGTACATTGTAAACCTTAAGGATTGTTTTGGAAAAGTCACAATTTGTAAAATGTGTCTTGTGAATGAAAAATCAACTGAAATACTTGTATAAACCCTACAGAGTTCTTACTCCTCTGATGACGACATGCCTGATCGAACACAAAAGCCAGGTGTGAAGCGTGCTAGAGGTCGTCTCTGGAAAAAGATGCACCCTGGTTATGACCTCAGCATAAGAGATGGTATATATCTGAAAGTTTTTGATAAAATTCACATTAACAGGTATGTTTTACCTGTATTACAACAGACTACAGGTGTTGTGATAAAATTCACATTAACAGGTATGGTTTGCCTGTATTACAACAGACTACAGGTGTTGTGATAAAATTCACATTAACAGGTATGGTTTGCCTGTATTACAACAGACTACAGGTGTTGTGATAAAATTCACATTAACAGGTATGTTTTACCTGTATTACAACAGACTACAGGTGTTGTGATAAAATTCACATGAACAGGTATGTTTTACCTGTATTACAACAGACTACAGGTGTTGTGATAAAATTCACATTAACAGGTATGGTTTACCTGTATAAAATTCACATTAACAGACTATTACAGGTGTTGTGATAAAATTCACATTAACAGGTATGGTTTGCCTGTATTACAACAGACTACAGGTGTTGTGATAAAATTCACATTAACAGGTATGGTTTACCTGTATTACAACAGACTACAGGTGTTGTGATAAAATTCACATTAACAGGTATGGTTTACCTGTATTACAACAGACTACAGGTGTTGTGATAAAATTCACATTAACAGGTATGGTTTACCTGTATTACAACAGACTACAGGTGTTGTGATAATAGTTATTAGGACAGAAAAAAGGATTGCAGAGACACATATGAATAGACATTTTATTAGGCACTGGTGAGCATCACCTATTGTTTGTAATTTCCAAAACTGCACAGAAATATAAATTGGAGTATCATTTTTAAAAACAGTTTTTGGTCTTACCTAGATGGACCTGACTGACCTGACACAACTGGCTTTGGCTGATATACAATGTGTTAAGAATGATTTTTAGAAACACTTCCCATCATTCCATTCATAGCAATTTGAGGCTTTGGAGTATATGTATCATCATATTGAAATAAATTTTGATTTACTCGAGTGACCATCAACTTTAAACATCTGCTTAAAGGTCACACAGTTTCTAGGTCCAGTTAGTGTATCATGTTACACAGCAGACACCCAATACTACCCTGAGATGTAATTAGGGAAACCAAATATCAGCTGTTTCAGATTTCCCTCTGATGTTAAATACATAATAACAAACACATAAGATTTTATCAGGTGGAAAGAACATGGACATGGCTCTCATGAAGGAGTTAGAGGAGACCCGGCGAGCTGTGGAGGAGGCAAAGAAAATATTTCAGGCAGGACACAAGATGGACGCTGATTTAACAGGTATCTTCAGACAGTCCTATCAACATAGTCTAATTGCATTATCATTTCATTATGATACAACCATTTAATGGCTGTCCCACCATCATTAAGTCCAATCCATAAATTACCTGCTTAACCTTCCTATTAAGGATATTGTTTCTATATTTCTACTTGAATAGGAAGTGACAGTGTTACACTGCCTTGATCGTACATAAAATTAAAATGTCTTTTATTTCTAATTGATACAAAAATGAATCAGCCCCTTAACAGGCTCACTGGATCACATGTTTAAAGTTTTGTTGTTTACCTTTAAACCTGGCCTATTTTTCAGACTCTGACGATGAGACAGGACTGAAATCAAAGAAGTATGTAACTGTAATTCCTATTAGTTATGCTGAATATGCAGGGAAAGTTTTATCGGAGGAAAAGTCCAAACAAGGAAAATCTCAGCATCGGAAACGAAATGGAGTTTCCCCTGTTCCCAGTGATAACAGAAATGGAATGCAACATCCGCCAGAGATTGTGTTCAGTTCCACTTGTTCAGATAGTGACAATGACATTGATGCTGATGTTGAAATAGACAAGTCTAGATTCTCCATCAAGTCAGGAGATTCATTTAACCGTCGTGCTATGACTGCACTTAAGGAGCTTGATGCTGCTATGGCTGCTGAAGTGTCTGATCTTGATGCCACAAGTACCTTTGGCCTAGATTTTCTAAAGGTTAATGGTGGATCCTCCGTATTGGCGGCACAGCATGGAAAGCCAGCTTCCTCTGTCCCACCTCCACCTCCTCCAGGTAAATTCAAAAGTAGACTGTCCCTTATGCTTAAGATTTTTTGCCACACTTCAGTGATAAAGTAAGACAACTGCCTAGCATCTGTGTGTAATGAAAATGTAAACTTTAGGTCTTCGAATGTATATTACTTCCAAGATATACATGGTATGGAGTATGATAATACAAACTTTGCCAGTTCAGAGAGTCTTTATATAGATTTATGTGGTATTAGATATAACTGATGCTTTTTACTCCTTGACAGGAGGGTAAATGTCCCATGTTCTTTTTAAGGTGTTCTTGCTGATGGAAATTCTCAACTGTGAAATGACAAAAGTTCCCAAACATACATTGTTCATTGTCATAGACAGAAAGATCAGATAGAAGAATCAGCTAAGTAAGAACTGATGTAGATTAAATTAGTTGACTACAATCTATATATAAATTGGTTTCAGTGGCACCCCCACCACCACCTCTCCCTCCTCCACCACCACCACCACCACCCCCTCCAGGAGTCCAGAATGGTATCCCTAGTCCCCATGCAACTGGGGGTAAAATGAATGTCAAGAGGATTAATTGGGACAAGCTTGACCAGACTAAAGTGGAGAACACAATATGGGAGCAGGTGGGTGTCTGGAATTCTTGTGTTGTTTTAGTCAAATCAATTTGAAGTTCTATCAACTTTTTAGCTCAATATCATCAGTTGTTGGACTATTCAAATCACCCTGTGTTCATTGTTTGTCATCATCCTTCCGGGGATGAATGGATCATTCTCAAATTGCATTGTAGCTTTGCCTTGAATCAAACATTTTGCATATTCCATTTTGGGCAACCATCAGGAATTTTGCCCATGAAACTTTGATACCACTGGTACTGGATGGAACTCATGTAGGTTCACCTTGATCCTTATTTTGTCCTTTCAATTTGATCCTTATTTTGTCCTTTCAATTTGATCCTTATTTTGTCCTTTCAATTTTAGTACTGACCAGAAAAAATGGCTGTTTTCATCATTTCATGGGAAGTGCTGGATGGATCTTCCTCAGTTGTAATAGGTAGTCTCCCTTTGTTCCCTAGTTGTGCACATTTCTTTGGCAGTGGAACAGGTGGGTGTAAAGTATCCTAGTGTGTGTTGTTACTGGTGACAGAGGAACAGATGGGTGTCTACTATCCTGTTGTTTGTTGACACAGGGACAGGTTGGTGTCTTGTATCCTGTTGTGTGTTGACAGAGGACAGGTTGGTGTCTTGTATCCTGTTGTGTGTTGACACAGGGACAGGTTGGTGTCTTGTATCCTGTTGTGTGTTGACAGAGGACAGGTTGGTGTCTTGTATCCTGTTGTGTGTTGACACAGGGACAGGTTGGTGTCTTGTATCCTGTTGTGTGTTGACACAGGGACAGGTTGGTGTCTAGTATCCTGTTGTGTGTTGACAGAGGGACAGCTGGGTGTCCAGTATCTTAGCCTGTACCATTTCTGTTGATATAGAAACAAGTGATGGTATGTATCACAATGGCAATAGGCAAACGTTTAGAAGGGGTTCATGTATAGGATTGAAGCCTGCATTAACTATTTTTCTGTTTCAGTTGGGAGAAAATGATTTGGAAGATGTTGTCAAGTACCTTGAATTAGAGCAGCATTTCAGCACTGGAGTCACCAGACAAAGTGAGTGATATCAGTAACTTTTGATGTATACATGTAGATCTGAAAGTATGATTTTAAAATTCAACAAAATTATCATCATTTTCACTTTTTCTCTATGAAATATGATTATAACACAGGAGAAATATACTTGGTTTATTACTTCTCTGTTCAGGGTTTTTTTTTTTAACAGGAGTATCTGAGAAGCGACAAGAAGTTTTCATCCTTAATGCAAAGAAAGCCTATAATATCTGTAAGTTACATAATTTATCATTAACTTAAGACACAACTACTTGGGTATGGTGTAAAGTTCCTCTGGCTGCCTTGGAGTGAACAGAAGTATTTGCAGCATGATCCTACTGAAGTCATATCAGTTATAAATTTATAGCAAGTTATACATGATAGACTTACTATAGGATCACCTGTCAGTCAGTAGCATATTGTGTCTTGGTACCACTTTGTATAACACTTACCTGCTAGTAACTCCACTTTTCTCTGTACAATATTACATTGTTGTGATATACCTGTTAGAATTATATATCTACCTAGCATCACCAATACTACTTCAGATATGACATTATTATATATTCGACTGTTAACAGCCATACTTCTTGGTCATGTGAAGATGAATGTGAATCAGATGAAGCAAGCACTGTTCCAGATGGACGAGGAAATTTTAACTTATGAACTTCTCCGTCAACTCCTTGCATTTGCACCTAATCATCAAGAGGTCTGTTTAAATCCATGACAGTTTTTCTCCATAGTAACCTAGATAGCACAGGAGGTCAGTTAAACTCACTGACAAGTTGTCTCCTAGGTAACCTAAATATCACAGGATATCTGATCTGTAAAACTCACTGACAACTTGTCTCCCTTGTAACCTAGTAGTCAGAGGAGGTCTGATCTGTAAAACTCACTGACAACTCGTCTCCCTTGTAACCTAGTAGTCATAGCATGTCTGATTTGTTAAAGTCACTGACAAGCTGTCTCCCTTGTAACCTAGTAGTCAGAGGAGGTCTGATCTGTAAAACTCACTGACAACTTGTCTCCCTTGTAACCTAGTAGTCATAGCATGTCTGACAACTTGTCTCCCTTGTAACCTAGTAGTCATAGCATGTCTGATTTGTTAAAGTCACTGACAACTTGTCTCCTTTGTAACCTAGTAGTCATAGCATGTCTGATTTGTTAAAGTCACTGACAAACTGTCTCATAGGTAACCTAAATATTACAAGAGGTCTGATCTGTAAAACTCACTGACAACTTGTCTCCCTTGTAACCTAGTAGTCAGAGGAGGTCTGATCTGTAAAACTCACTGACAACTTGTCTCCCTTGTAACCTAGTAGTCATAGCATGTCTGACAACTTGTCTCTTGAGTGACCTAGATATCACCGAACCTACAACTCATTGGGTTTTTATTGTCATGGTGCCATGAAACAAACCGTCTCTTTAGTCAACAGAGAGTGCATATGAATTATTTTAGTATATATATATCCAGATTAATTTTAATTCAGTTCTCATTATCTTGAAATATCATATTTCTGCTGATTTAATTTTGATAATTATACAGTCTGTAGAAGTGCTGTGTTGTTGCTATGTTGAACCTTTTTACCTTTTAACATTTCAGATGGAGAAATATGACTGTTTTGATGGGGATCTGGATGACTTGAGCAAACCAGATAGATTTGCATATGAAGTAAGAGTTGGATAAACATTGTTTCCACTGCTTGTTCGATTATAAAGCATTTGATAGAAGTGAGATATTTCTTGTGTGACAGTGAGATCTGGCATCTGATTATAGGATTTCATGAGAGATCCTACCGTGCAAAGAAAATTGATATACAATTAGAGATGTGTCATGTCATGTCAAACTTGCTATAAGTAACTTAATTTGAAATGTCTTCTATTTGTAGATGAGTCGTGTACCTGGGTATGAACAAAGACTAAAAGCCTTAATATTCAAAGGGAATTTCAATGAGAAGATAGCTGAAATGAAGGAGGTACGCATGCAAATCTTCATTGTGCGATTTCTTGATTGTTATTCCCACTTGTCTACACCAGGTACATCTAAATCAGATAAGATTGTATATAAGCAGACATTATCACATGTAGAAGACTTGTGTTTGGGACATAATTCCTTAGTTAAGACAATGACAATGTATTTTCCATGGTTGTGTTCCTCACAGTGTTGTTTTTCTGTGTAGTTTTTCCCCTCCTGATGTTGGGTAATTAAAAGGTGTGTCTTCCCTCTGGGTTCTTCATGCCTGACAAGCAAATTCTTTGTTTCAATTAAACAAATGACACCGACTTCTTGTTTTTACATGTAATATCATTTAATATGGGCGGTAAACAACCAATACATTGTTATATTTCAAGAACTTACAGAATATAAGGAAGGCATCTGCAGAATTACGCCACAGTAAGAAGTTAGCCAAGATATTGGAAGTAAGTAAACTGAACAATATTTTATGATAAGAAGCATTTTTCTGCTCTAATTACTTTGAGATATTGTAGTACTAGATACATATAATGTGCTATTCTGGGTACATACAAGTTACAGATGATAGAATACCATATGTATGGGTAGATTTAAAGTCTCTTATATAAGATATTTTTATAGAGGATGTCAATCACTTATTAAACTATTTGCTGTTAAATAGCATTAATGGTCATTAAGTAAATTAGTAGGACACTTCTGAAAACAATTGAGATTAAAAACCTTTCACTAGATAAAACAAAATTTTGCAGATATCTATGGCAGTTATAATTATCTCTATAACAATTTATGGTCATGTTTTAGATATGGTCTGTATTGAATGTACCGGTAATATCCTTTTATTTACATAGTTATTGCCCTTTATCTTTGGTCACTTTGTTCAGATTACTAGATTCTGTATGATTTTCCCTTGATTTAGATGAATTACAGTACCAGTATATCATAGAACAACAATGGAAAACTAGGGCTATGAAGAAAGCAAATCAAAGTCATGATCTTACAAAGAAGTTTGTCTTTATTGCTTATATAACTCTTATTGTGCCGTGTTGACCCAAAATTACTAAACATGACTGGAAAGAAGTGTTAGATAAGTTTAAAGAATTTTCCATTGCACTATGCTGGTTCGCCGTCATAGTTTCATTTCAGGTTTACTCATAATAATATGTTTTTCATATAGTTAATACTGGCCATGGGTAACTACATGAACAAGGGAAATAACAGAGTAGGTGGTGCAGCTGGTTTTAGGATATCCTTCCTGGCACAGGTAAGTAAGGATTACTTCCCAGCACAGGTAAGTAAGGATTACCTTCCCAGCACAGGTATATCCAGGGATGACCTTTTCATCACAGGTAAGAGAGGATATTTAACAGGTCACATTAAGCAAGGAGATATTCCCAGCAGAAGTAAGCATGGGCATCATGTGAAAACTAACATGTGAATGATTTTCCATATATGTGTGATAAAGGTGCAGATATATGCTTACAATATAACCATCTATTACCCAATGTACCAGATGATCAATATAAACAAATGCAACAAAAATACCTACGTATAATTCTCAGTAGTTGAAATTATGTGTTAACTTCAATTATTCAGTATTTTGTATTACTGGCATTAAAAATTGCAAGCATTATGTAATATAAGGAATTTAACTTGACAGTAAAAAAGTATCACATTATGGTCATGATTTCAATTCCTTTGTTTTCCCAATCAGTTGGATGTGACCAAGACTAAGGACAACAAGATGACATTTATACATATACTAGCAGAGGCAGTGTACTCCCAATTCCCTGAAGCCCTATCAGTGGGCGAAGACCTTACCACAGTCCCACTGGCAAGCAAAGGTCTGTTATGTCACTATTTTATTTGAAAGCTGAGATATGCATAACAGCAATTCCATATGAAAAAGATAAGCATTGCAACAATTCCATTCTGTAGCCAAAGTGATCAGCATGATTATGCTGCAGTAAGTGGATAAGTTCTGTTCAGGAAACAGAAGTAATTATTTATATCAATGCCTCTGCTGGGGATTGAACCAGGACCTCTGTCTTGCTTGTCTTACGTTCAATTGATTGAGCCAGAGATATTCGGAATTAGATCCACAAGTTTGTCTTTACAGTTTTGTCCATTTGCCAAACATTGAACTGCCATCATGACTCAATCATTTGCATTGTTTACTTGATAAAGGAAATAGACATTTTTGTAAGCCTTTGAAAAGGTATTCCATTACTGTGCTAAATGAAATATCTTCTGAAAGACGACAAAGTCCTCACACTAGCGAAGTGGTATATTTCAGAGTTGTCTATATCACTCTATCACCTATATATATTTGTTTTTTCAGTGTCTAACATAATGCTGAATCAGGAATTACAAGAACTGAGAAAAGTATTACAGGTAATTACAGCCATTATCTAAAGCATCCGGCTGTATGTTTTATGTCTAAGCTGACGATTTAAGCAGTGAACTTGTAATTAACACTTGTGTAACTTCTTTCAGGAAGGATTCCATGACCTATTTTACCTTCAATTATCAATACATTTTCCTGTTCAAACTGATGTAAAAAAAAAAATAAATCCTCATTATCTCAAATTTGGCAGAACCATAGGGAAACTTCAGGATTATTGAGTATTCAGTTTAAGCGAGTTACAAAGTTTTGTGTAAAGTTAGGCAGGGACAGACAAAATGCTTTGAATAAAACCGAGTCTTCGAGTTATATGAGCTTGAGATAACGAGGTATGACTGTATATGCATTTGTAATGATAACAAATCAATATTTATCCAGCAATGGTAATGGAGAGAATAATTCATTTGTACTGTCTTTTCCCACAGGATGTATCCAATACACTAGAAAAGTTTGGGTCCCAAAAGACAAGCATAGGGATCAATGATCGTTTCCAGGATGTGATGGGAGTATCCTTTTGATCTAGTTACAGGATCATGCTGACAGTGATGATAGTAAGAGAACATAGCCTTGTGAGGACCATGTAGACAGTTAATGTAGAGATACAGGGGCTCAAACCATTTGGAAAATTATATACATATCAATTTCTTAAAGGTCCTGGTATTGTATATGTATACATGTATTTGTACAGGACTAGGACCATCTAGACAAATGATAGGGGCGTGACAATTTTGACTGCATGTTGATGGAGTTATATTTGGCTAGGAGGATATGGGCAGTTATTGTGGGACTTCAAAGTTATAAATTAATTTAAGATTACCATCTTCAAAAAAGTTATTCTTGACAAGTCAGCACTTTATATCACAGGCCTCGGATGAGATCCAGGGTCTGTTCCGTCTCCAGGCCAACACTATGGAGGAATTCCAGGCCATGGTTCAGTTCTTCGGAGAAGACTCAAAGAAATCCACCACCGAAATATTTGGAATCTTCTCTGAGTTCATCACAAAGTTTGAAGTAAGGTTCAGTTCAAAACTTTTATCATGCATACAGTATATAATTTAACTTTTCACTAGCCATTCAAATATTTATCATTGTTTATACTAATATATCAAAAATATATTTCGTACATGATTAATGTGTTGTTTATATGTCTGTTTCAGAGAGGACATCGACATAACATGGTGTATAAACGTCGCTAAGTCTAAACAACTCTGGATCTACAACAAAGGCAGCTTCACAAGTCTATTATCACCCAATTCACTTAAACTGCTATATCAAGGTTTTATCAGTTGTCATTGTTAAGATACACAGTAATATAATCTTCACCATTAACAGTGACCTATGTATTAATATAGTATCAAATTGTACATCATTCTGTCTTTACTGTTGTACCTAGTGCCTTCAGGATAAAAAAGTGTTTATGATAAGAAGGAATGAAAACAACCATTGTTTACAATCAATACCCTGGTAAACAACAATTTATCTGTAAATATAGAAGAACTGTCACAATGAAGTTATAATGGCTTTGCCTGTTACTACCCTGTACAAACAATGTTGTTGACAACACTTTACTTCAACAGTTTCTCTGTCTCTTAAGGGACAGGAAAAATACATTCCTGCCAAGCACCCCAACATGAATCAAACCCTGGTCATGATGATGCATGGCTCTACCAACTGAGCCTAAAAAAGCATGCTTTCTCAAAGTTAACAGAGACCATATTTAGTATTATGTACACGCCCATCTGACCCATTTCTTTTACACTTCACCAGTTATTCTTGATGTTACTCAAATCCCACCCACCTGGGAAGGAGTATCATTGAACTACCTGGGTAGGAGTAGGAGTATCATTGAACTGCCTGGGTATGAGTATCATTGAACTACCTGGGTAGGAGTAGGAGTATCATTGAACTACCTGGGTATGAGTATCATTGAACTACCTGGGTAGGAGTAGGGTATCATTGAACTATCTGAGTAGGAGTATCATTGAACTACCTGGGAAGGTGTATCATTGAACTACCTGGGTAGGAGTAGGAGTATCATTGAACTACGAGTATCATTGAACTACCAGGGTAGGAGTATCATGGAACTATCAGGGTAGGAGTATCATTGAACTACCTAGGTAGGAATATCATTGAACTACCTGGGTAGGAGTATCATTGAACTACCTGAGTAGGAGTAGGAGTATCATTGAACTACCTGAGTAGGAGTAGGAGTATAATTGAACTACCTGGGTAGGAGTATCATTGAACTACCTGGGTAGGAGTAGGATATCATTGAACTACCTGGGTAGGAGTATCATTGAACTACCTGGGTTGGAGTATCATTGAACTACCTGAGTAGGAGTAGGAGTATAATTGAACTACCTGGGTAGGAGTATCATTGAACTACCTGGGTAGGAGTAGGAGTATCATTGAACTACCTGGGTAGGAGTATCATTGAACTACCTGGGTAGGAGTAGGAGTATCATTGAACTACCAGGGTAGGAGTATCATTGAACTACCTAGGTAGGAATATCATTGAACTACCTGGGTAGGAGTATCATTGAACTACCTGAGTAGGAGTAGGAGTATAATTGAACTACCTGAGTAGGAGTAGGAGTATAATTGAACTACCTGGGTAGGAGTATCATTGAACTACCTGGGTAGGAGTAGGAGTATCATTGAACTACCTGGGTAGGAGTATCATTGAACTACCTGGGAAGGAGTATCGTTGAACTACCTGGGTAGGAGTAGGAGTATCATTGAAATACCAGGGTAGGATTATCATTGAACTACCTAGGTAGGAGTAGGAGTATCATTGAACTACCTGGGTAGGAGTATCATTGAACTACCTGGGTAGGAGTATCATTGAACTACCTGGGTAGAAGTATCATTGAACTACCTGGGTATGAGTATCATTGAACAACCTGGGTAGGAGTAGGAGTATCATTGAAATACCAGGGTAGGATTATCATTGAACTACCTAGGTAGGAGTATCATTGAACTACCTGGGAAGGAGTGTCGTTGAACTACCTGGGTAGGATAGGAGTATCATTGAACTACCAGGGTAGGAGTACCATTGAACTACCTGGGTAGAAGTAGGAGTATCATTGAACTACCTGGGTAGAAGTAGGAGTATCATTGAACTACCTGGGTAGGAGTATCATTGAACTACCTGGGTAGGAGTATCGTTGAACTACCTGGGAAGGAGTATCGTTGAACTACCTGGGTAGGAGTAGGAGTATCATTGAACGACCTGGGTATTAGTATCATTGAACTACCTGGGTATTAGTATCATTGAACAACCTGGGGTAGGAGTATCATTGAACTACCTGGGAAGGAGTATCATTGAACTACCTGGGAAGGAGTATCATTGAACTACCTGGGTAGGAGTAGGAGTATCATTGAAATACCTGGGTAGGAGTATCATTGAACAACCAGGGTAGGAGTATCATTGACCTACCTAAGTAGGAGTATCATTGAACTACCTGGGTAGGAGTAGGAGTATCATTGAACTACCTGGGAAGGAGTATCATTGAACTACCTGGGTAGGAGTATCATTGAACTACTTGGGAAGGAGTATCATTGAACGACCTGGGTATTAGTATCATTGAACTACCTGGGTATTAGTATCATTGAACAACCTGGGGTAGGAGTATCATTGAACTACCTGGGAAGGAGTATCATTGAACGACCTGGGCAAGAGTATCATTGAACAACCAGGGTAGGAGTATCATTGAACAACCAGGGTAGGAGTATCATTGAACTACCTAAGTAGGAGTATTGTTGAACTACCTGGGTAGGAGTAGGAGTATCATTGAACTACCAGGGTAGGAGTATCATTGAACTACCTGGGAAGGAGTATCATTGAACTACCTGGGAAGGAGTATCATTGAACTACCTGGGTAGGAGTAGGAGTATCATTGAAATACCTGGGTAGGAGTATCATTGAACAACCAGGGTAGGAGTATCATTGAACTACCTAAGTAGGAGTATCATTGAACTACCTGGGTAGGAGTAGGAGTATCATTGAACTACCTGGGTAGGAGTATCATTGAACTACTTGGGTAGAAGTAGGAGTATTATTGAACTACCTGGGTAGGAGTATCATTGAACTACCTGGGTAGGAGTATCATTGAACGACCTGGGTATTAGTATCATTGAACTACCTGGGTATTAGTATCATTGAACGACCTGGGTTAGGAGTATCATTGAACTACCTGGATAGAAGTATCATTGAACTACCTGGGTAGGAGTAGGAGTATCATTAAACTACCTGGGTAGGACTATCATTGAACTACCTGGGTAGTAGTATCATTGAACTACCTGAGTAGGAGTGTCATTGAACTGTCTGGGTAGGAGTAGGAGTATCATTGAACTACCTGGGTAGGAGTAGGAGTATCATTGAACTACCAGGGTAGGAGTGTCATTGAACTACCTGGGTAGGAGTGTCATTGAACTGTCTGGGTAGGAGTAGGAGTATCATTGAACTACCAGGGTAGGAGTATCATTGAACTACCTGGGTAGGAGTGTCATTGAACTGTCTGGGTAGGAGTAGGAGTATCATTGAACTACCTGGGTAGGAGTGTCATTGAACTGTCTGGGTAGGAGTAGGAGTATCATTGAACTACCTGGGTAGGAGTAGGAGTATCATTGAACTACCAGGGTAGGAGTATCATTGAACTACCTGGGAAGTAGTATCATTGAACGACCTGGGCAAGAGTATCATTGAACAACCAGGGTAGGAGTATCATTGAACAACCAGGGTAGGAGTATCATTGAACTACCTAAGTAGGAGTATCATTGAACTACCTGGGTAGGAGTGTCATTGAACTACCTGGGTAGGAGTGTCATTGAACTGTCTGGGTAGGAGTAGGAGTATCATTGAACTACCTGGGTAGGAGTATCGTTGAAGTACCTGGGTATGTCCTGGATAATTTTAGTACATTGTACTACAGAAAAAAATCCCACAACGGAAATGACAACATTGTACATTCTGAAAATTATGTTAAAGTATGAGATAACTGTCACCTACAGCTCTGTTCAGTTATACCAGTTTTTTTTTTATTGTTTGAATTTTTCAGTTATGGATCCAGAGATTTTGAAAACTGATTTGATTTTTACATATAATTTCTGACCAAAATATATATTCATCCCATTTTAGCATTTTTAATTGAGGTCAAATTATTTGCTTTTTTTTTAGGAGTAGATATAAAGCTTGTCAAAAATTGATGTCTTTTGATGATAAATGTCTAGTCAAAAATTGATGCCTGGTTATATGTTATTGTGAAACAGAATTAATTTTTGGGGAAATAATATGCGGAATTCCTCTTACTTCTCCATTACAAGTGTTTTGGCCCTCAATTATCGTTAGATCTCAGAGTAACACCATTTGTTTTAATTTGTCCTTGCTATTCTGTCATCATAAAGATATGATATCTCATTAACACTACTGAAGTTAACAATATCACATCTTGTCAAACATTGGTATCCTTGAAAATATATGTCTCATCAAAGATTTGTGTCTTTGATAATATATGTCTAGTCAAATATTGATGTCTTTGATAATTTATGTCTTGTCAAGCATTGATGTCTTTGATTATATATGTCTTGCTAAGTATTGGTGTCTTTGGTAATATATGTCTTGCTAAGTATTGGTGTCTTTGGTAATATATGTCTTGTCACGCATTGGTGTCTTTGATGATACATGTCTTCCTAAGTATTGGTGTCTTTGGTAATATATGTGTTGTCAAGCATTGGTGTCTTTGGTAATATATGTCTTGTCAAGCATTGGTGTCTTTGATGATACATGTCTTGTCAAGTATTGGTGTCTTTGGTAATATATATCTTGCCAAGTATTTATGTCTCTGATGATATATGTCTGATCATAGTTTAGTGTCCCTGGTGATATGTTTAATCAAGATTGGAGTCTATAATGATCTAAGTCTTGTCAAAGATTTGTGTATTTTGTACATTTTTTCTATCAGTGATTGGTGTCTTTTGTTATGTATATCTAGTCAAACATTGATGTATCTGGTAATGTGTAGTACAATATATATCTGTGGCTGATTTTGTGATCAGTTATGTTTAGGAAGAAAATTCTTTTTTAATGTACAGACTTCCTCATCACAAAAGATGTATTGTGAAGGATTCTTAGATATCTTGTTTACACGATACTTACATCACAATGCTCTCACTTTGTTTCTGTCTTTATAGCATT